AATTTCTGGTTCATTTCCTTATTTTTGGTTAATTTCATGTTAATTTTGGCTAATTAGTTTTGGTTAATTAGTTGCGCTAATAGTGGTTAATGAGCAGTGTTAACGGCGTTAATGAGCGTTGTTAATTAGCGCTGTTAATAGTGGTTAATGAGCTGTGTTAGCGGCGTTTATGAGCGCTGTTAATGAGCGCTGTTAATGAGCGCTGTTTGTTAATGAGCGCTGTTAATGAGCGCTGTTTGTTAATGAGCGCTGTTTGTTAATGAGCGCTGTTTGTTAATGAGCGCTGTTTGTTAATTAGCGGTGTTAATGAGCGCTGTTTGTTAATGAGCGTTGTTAATGAGCGCTGTTCGTTAATTATCGGTGTTAATTGCGCAGGCCCGGCTGCGCCTGGGGGCTCAGGTGGAGAAGGATGACGTCAGCGAGGCGCTGCGGCTGCTGGAGGCGGCGCGAGACTCCCTGAGGGGGGAGCCCGAGCCCGGGGCCAGGTGAGAAAATTCGGGAATTTGGGGAAAAATTTGGGAATTTTGGGTTCCCGGGATTCCCTGAGGGGGGAGCCCGAGCCCGGGGCCAGGTGAGGAATTGGGAATTTGGGGAAAATTCGGGAAAATTTGGGAATTTTGGGGAATTTTGGGATCCCGGGATTCCCTGAGGGGGGAGCCCGAGCCCGGGGCCAGGTGAGAAAATTCGGGAATTTGGGGAAAAATTTGGGAAAATTTGGGAACGTTTGGGGTGTTTGGGTTACTGGGATTTGGGGGGGTATTTTTAGGGATTTTTAAAAAATTTGGGGGGGGATTTTAGGGATTTTTTTAGGATTTTTTTAGGGGATTTTAGGCTTTTTTTTTAGGGTTTTTTAAGGTTTTTTTTTGGGGAATTTTTAGGCATTTTTCAAGCATTCTGAGGAGGATTTTTAGGGATTATTTTAAAGGATTTTTAAGGTATTTTTTGGAGGATTTTTAGGGATTTTTAAAGGATTTTTGCGGGGATTTTTAGAGATTTTTAAGGACTTTTAGGGGGATTTTTTAAGGATTTTTAAAGGATTTTTTGGGGGGGGGTTTAAAGGATTTTGGGAGGATTTTTAGGCATTTTTCAAGCATTTTAAGGAGGATTTTTAGGGGGATTTTTAAAGGATTTTTAAAGGATTTTGGGGGGATTTTTTGGCATTTTTAAAGTTCTTTTTTTATTATTATTTTTAGGCATTTTTCCAGCATTCTGAGGAGGATTTTTAGGCATTTTTTAAAGGATTTTTGCGATGATTTTTAGAGATTTTTAAGGACACTTAGGGGGATTCTTTAAGGATTTTTAAAGGATTTTTGCGGGGATTTTTAGGCATTTTTAAAGTTCTTTTTTTTAAATTATCTTTAGTCATTTTTCCCTCATTCGGAGCAGGTTTTGATTTTCCCTCTCCTGTCCCCGCAGGTGTCCCCGCCCATCGGAGGCGATTTTTGGGATCCTGCGGGAGCTGGGGGGGCCCGGGGGGCGCTCGGTGCCCCTCCCCCACGCGCTGCAGGTGCTGGGGGCTCGCGGCTTCACCCCCGGCCAGGTGAGCGAAGCCCTGGGCGAGTACGAGCGGCTCAACGTGCTGCAGGTGAACCCCGGCAGGAGCAGCATCACCTTCGTGTGAAAAATGGGGGAAAACGGGGAAAAATGGGGAAAAACGGCGAAAAAACGGCAAAAAACAGCGAAAAAACGGCAAAAAAATGGCGAAAAATGGCAAAAAACCGGCGAAAAAACGGGAAAAAAAAGGCGAAAAACGGCAAAAAAACCCGTCAAAAAATGGCAAAAAAACGGCGAAAAAACGGGAAAATAAAGGCAAAAAACCGGGGAAATTCTGCCAGTAATGGGGGAAAAACAACAAAAAACTGCAAAAATCCGG